AGGGCAGGTGGGAGAACATTCCTAACTTGTTTACTAATCCTTCAATGGCATTAGTTTTGTAGCATTGCAATTTCCTCTGATTTAGACAAGGATTCCCAAACTTTGTCAACCGAACATAAAATATTTATTTTATTTGACAAAATATTTACTTGAAGTTAATATCAATCACGTAACATTCATGTTTACGGTTCTCTGATGTTAGTTGATGGTCACATGACATGCAGGTAAACAAAATATTTAATATTTCGTAAGAAATCGTAAGGGAAAAAAAATGTCTGCCACATGGGGAAATCATCATACTTGGTAAATAATAATTATGACATAAGTTATAATTGACATGGAAGAAAAAGTTAAAATTGTCAATTAACATTTTGTAGTAATTCTGACTGTCAATCTTGACTTTTTATCATAATTTTGACTGTCATAATTAGGACTTATGAGAAGTCATAATTATGAGATAAAAAGTTGATTGAGTCATTAAAAGGTTGAAATTCTGTCATAATTATGATAACTTGGTGTCATCATTAAAATTTGTCTTAATTATGATTTACCAAAGCATGATTTTAATTCCCTAAAGGTGACAGAAATTAGCTTCACATGCTTGTAGTTTGATAGGTTTTATTTTAAAACTATTTATGTATTTTAATGTTACATTTTTTATAATTTAATTATTAGCTTTCATCAACTCTCAAAAAAGTGATGTGACATGTGGCCAAGTATGGTGACCCATACTTGGAATTAGTGCTCTGCATTTAACCCATTCAAAGTACACACACACAGCAGTGAACACATTTGCTGTACATTCACTCCCCCCACCTACAATCCCTGCCGGTACGATACTCGAACCCGCAACCTTTGGGTTACGAGTCCGACTCTAACCATTAGGCCACGACTTCCCCAAATTCACGTTTGAGAAAACCCCATTTATAACCGGTTTAATGTGAAAATAAGTCCAAAAAGGCAAGAGAAATTATTCTAAATAAATTTTTCTTCAGTAGTGAATTTGAGTATTGTTAAAAATCTAATTAAAATATATATTTTGATATTTGTGTGTTCTGTATGATTACAGCGTTGTGCTGTTAGTGTAGCAACATAAGTCATCAGTTATAAATGAAGCCACCTGAGTGCTATTCATGTGAACTACTGCCTTTATAGAAAGTTCAGATCAGCCAATAACAAGGTTCCTTAACTGTTGGGGTGCTGACTTAGAAGACAGCGGTTTATATAGGCAACGAGACAGCTCACCAAGTTTCAGAACGGAGCTTTTGACAGATTTTGATGTAATTTCTTTATTTCTAATTTCTAGGATGGAGTTCCAGAAACCAAGAAGGAACCCGAAAAGCTTGAGAAGAACAGCAAACGGCGTCTAGAAAAAGAGAATATAGAAGGGCAACACAGAGACAAGATAAAAAAGCCCAAGAAAAAGAAGCCTAAAATGAACAAAGAAAGGAGAAGAGAGGAAAAACAAACCACTTCCCCCTCCAACTCCCTTTCTGATCTATCGTATTCAGATGACTCGGAGGAGGATTGGTCTGTGTGCTCGGCAAAGCAATGTCAACAGCCAGAAGGAAACGAGGTTAGTTCTGGCATAATTGAAATGCTTTTGGTTTTGGTTTCTAATACACTGCATCATTCTTGCTTATACAATTGGGTTATTGTGAGTCTCTCTTTGCCTGCATGAATGATTAATGCTCTTTCTCATCCTTGCAGGTAAACTGGGTCCAGTGTGATGGCAGCTGTAACCAGTGGTTCCACCAGATTTGTGTGGGAGTGTCTGCTGAGCAGGCTGAGAATGAGGACTACATCTGCGTCAGCTGCTCAAAAAGCGATTTGACAGAATGAGGACCAAAATCATGTTTTTCGAAGGATAGTCAAAAGGCTCCCCGTTTTGCACATAAGTTACATCACCAAGAATGCACCAGATATCATCCTCTTACTGAATCCCGCTCCCTCTGCACCCTTGGTGCTACTGCCTTCTTCATAGGACTGTTAACAACAATCTATGATTCTTCTGCTTTTTGTTTTGTATTTTTGAAGATTTCCTTCTATAACATTTTATTTCTTCTCTAGAGAACGTGATGCATAGATGTACCTCAGGGGTTTCCATCCCATAAATGCAAAACGATGGGGAATTTCAGCTTTCCCAAATGTATTTTTGTTCATATTTATTGTTTTATTTTAATTTTTTTCTTTCCCCAGTCACCTTTAGAATTTCTAACATGAGTTTGTCAATCTGGGCTATTTACACCAAATAATATTAATTGGACTAAACAAAATGGTCAAATTATTTTTGGAACCCGCTGTTTTGGTACATGTCTAATAATATAAAATATTATTTATTTATCCCAGCAATAACTTGGCTGGTTACCCTGATTTTCAGTAGCTTGAGAGCTGCTCTGATCTGTTGCTTGATGCAGTGTTTGTACAGAATCCTAATGTAGGTTGTCAGACAAAAGAGATGTAGCAGGCAGATGAAAAAGCTGTGTGAAATATACTTTGTGATGTATACTGTGGCTTTCTTTAAAACTCAAAACAGATCTCTCCGATGTTAATTCATTTGTGGAATAAAATGGTTTGTTCTCACCTATAAATACTGATCTACTTCTGATATCGTGAGCCCTTGTCTTTATTTGTGTGCAACTCAATGTGTATTGTTGCATAAAGCAAACGCGTAGATCTGAGCATCAGGTGGCGACTAAGTAAAAAAGGCAGTTCAGTGTAGCTGTTCAACCTCCATTCCTGTGGATGGAGCCATTATGGTCATCAAAGCGCCAATGATTCACGAATGGCAGCATTTCATCGTTTCATAGTCCCTCCCTAAACGTGCATTGGCGCGCTGTGCATCCTTCCGTCGGGTCCCCGGTCATCTCTCCGTTAGCCTCGGCAAGACTGGCGAAAACATGGCGGGTATGAACGCGTCGGGTCCCGGCCCGGTTTCGACTCTCGACCAGGTCGATAAAGGACTGAAGGAGACTCTTATAGACGCGCTGAACGCCATTCTGTCGCCGGTGCAAGAAGTGCGTTCTGCTGCGGAGGAGCGCATTAAAGTGTTAGAAGTGACGGAGGGTAAGAACTGACGCGAGATGCTGCCACAACATGCATGACACCATGTGAAGCGCAGGTTTTTACACATGGGCCACACGCTTTTTCATTTCAGATGAACGGTTGCTGATTTTATGATGCTTGTCGGCCGTGTTTATCACGGTTTGTCACGGTGAATTTGTCAACGAATTGGGGAGGCGAAAGCAAGTGCATCCGAATCCAACATGTTCCCACATTTTCAGTTGATGGCTGTGTAGTCAAATGTAAAGATTATAAGTGAGAAGCTCGGTTCTGTCGATCTGCATTTAGTCAGTTTCACTTTTAAACTCACATGATGGTAATTCCGTGTTGATAAATACGCGTCATCTTTGTGAGAATCTGATAGTTTCAGGGAGAGTTTGAGGTTTGGCTTCTCGGAGTGTCTAACGTTATATCAGGGCTGTCCAAACTCGGTCCTGCAGAGTTTAGCTCCAACCCTAATTAAACACACCTGAACCAGCTAATCAAGCTCTTACTAGGCATAGAAACTTCCAGTCAGGTGTGTTGAGGCAAGTTGGAGCTAAACTCTGCAAGACACCGGTGTTGTGCCGAATTCTGCACCCCTGCCAGATTATGCACCCCCTCGTTGAAGTCGCTACTTGATTGCCTAATCCCAACCCCACCCCTAATCCTAACCCCTCCCCCAAACCTACTCCTAAACCTACCAATACTAGGGGGTGCATAATTTGGCAGGGTGCAAATTTCGGCACTACACCGGCCCTCCAGGACCGAGTTTGGACAGCCCTGGTCTATATCAATATTAAGTCCGAGCACCCTTTATCATTAAGGTTAAGTTACATCACCCAGTATTTTTAAAGTTCAGGTATTGCTTAGAGTTTTGTGGCCGTTTCGTCCTCTTTTGGGAGAAAAAGAGCAGAATCTTGTTTATGTGGCTCGATATGAGTCAGTAGCTTTGGCCAGTGATTAATATGCAAGCTTAAGAATCAATTACTGGAAAGCCATATGATTTGACTACAAAAATGCCAGCGAATTATTTTTGTACGCAGTATTTGATATATTATATTTCATTACACTTTCGGCATATTAAAGTATGTTCTCTCGTCATTTTCTGAGAGTGTATGGTGCATAATTGAAGCAGAGCTATTATTGTTGTAGTTATATTTTCTGTATTATTTATAGCTCCTTGATGTTGGTTGGGTTTTTTTTTTTTTTACAACCATAATTGTTTTTATTAAGAATTTGTTTCATTACATTAATTGAGTAGAATTGAAGTACACAACCTCTTAAAGGTTTGAGGTCGGTATGATTTGTAAAATGTTTTTGAAAGCCTCTTATGCTCACCAAAACTGCATTTATTCAAAAATACTGCAATAAAATCTGTAACTGTGAAGTATTATTACAATTTAAAATAACTGTTTTCTATTTTCAGATATTTTAAAATGCGATTCCTGTGATGGCAAAGCTCAATTTGATCCTTCAGAAATCATTCTAATATGCTGATTTGGTGCTCAAGAAACCTTTATTATTGTTGTCAATACTGAAAACACTTGTATCCTAGTTTCCACAAAAAATATTAAATTTTTTCGGGATTCTTTGATGAATAGAAAGTTCAAAAGAACAGCATTTACTTGAAACAGAAATCTTCCTTAACATTATAAATGTCTTTACTCTCACTTTTGATCAATTTAATGTATCCTTGCTGAATAAAAGCAATTTAAAAATAAATCTTATTGACTTCAAATTTTTGAACAGTAGTTTAGTTCTGGACTGCACACTATATGTTTTTATGTTTAGAAAGAAAACATGCCCACATAAAGGTAGAAATGGCCTTGAAAATCAGTTGGTCAGTTTAATCCAGCGGGTCGCTGGCTGTGGCCTCTCTCTCAGGGCTCTTCTGTGTGTTGAGTGTCAGCAGTAACATTGTCTGTTGGCCACCAGCCTCTCATTGAGCTTAATCCATGGATGAGGAAAGATATGGCAGTGCCGTGTTGCTGTAATGAAGCTTACATTAAAAAAAAAAAAATTTATTGTACTCATCTGACTTGGCTTCTAATGCATTTGTGGTCTTAGCTTGTTAACTTATTGTTAATCAGACAGATTGTTGGTTGTGCTTGGAAACTACGTCTGTTTCAATCTGTAAACAGTTTTGACGTGCTAGTGGTTATTTGTGCT